ACAAACCATATCACCATCTAGAGTGAACTCCCAGCACCCCAACCACACCAGTGAATGGAGCACCCCACCAGCCGCAGCACTAGAAACAGGAGACAGAATGTTAAAACTCTAAAACTAAGCAAACTCAAATCGTATACTAAACAATAAAAACAATAAAACCAATAAAGCTAAATCATGTAATACTAAACTAAAATAAACAACAGTCAGTGCTATGCCTAGAAACAAACAAAGCACTGTTAATTTAGTTTGTAGGGCACATTACAATGTTAAAATGTTGCATGTTTTACATACCTTTGTATAAAAGGTCAACTTTTCATTCTTTTGTCCTGCAAACAGGTTATGGCAGACCCAGTATTAAAATCATTAAAATACAAATACCTCAGGGTGCATGCACCCCTACAGTACCCTAACAATTAAAATGCTAACATGATTATAAAACAATGCTAAAAACCCCAAAGGTCCAGCTTACCAGAGCCACACGGAATTAAACAGTCACAGCCACATGGAGGGCACACAAAGAATCTGAGGAGAGTGAAGCCTGCAGTCACACCTGCAGTCTCACCTGTGTATTGATGATGTGTATATGTGCATTTATCTATGTATTTATTATGTGTATGTATATATGTATATGCATTATGACCTGTATGTTTTAGTGGAGAGTTAGACCTCTCTTTCTGTCCAGAGATCGTGTGTTCTGTGTTGACAGGTGTGAACGAGATTGACTTATGAGTGTGACGTCACCGCTGCCGGATTGGCTGAGCAAGGGGCTCAGCCTTCATAACTCCCAGCCACACGGAAGCCGCGAGACGACTCTCGTACATGGCAGCAGTGCATCGTTTCTCTGATTTTTGTCATAAGTGATTTTTTTGTGTGTGACTATAGTGTGTGTGCTCGTGTTTAGCTTGCTTTGCTAAATATCGTAGCTTGTGTTAAGACCAGCGCGTTATGGCCAACTGAGTCGCTTGTATATATATATTGTAAATAGTCACTGTCACTTATTATTGTTTGCACAGAGCGTAGGGGTGAGCTGCTATTTCTGTTGTATCTGTTTTCTCCTGTTTTTTTCTTTAGCCTAGGGAGTTAGGCCTAGTATTGTATTTTTTTTTCTCTTATTTTCGTTATTAGTTTCGGATTAGTTATTTTGCCGGTCGGTAGAGAGGTTGCTTTTTGTTTGTTATTTTGGCCTGGGTTCACCCTGACATCATTGCTCCATTTGTCTGCAATATTGTACTGTGTGTTTTTGAGTGTGTAGCAATAAATTGCTCACCTGTACACTGATTCTTGTTCTCCTGTGTATCTTTATGTTACGCACCCACACCCCTAGGCCGGGGCGTGACAGGTCCATGCATTTGTAACATCTCATTCTGACTATACAGTTCTCTTTGGACTTCCCACCAAACTCATTAGCAGGCTTCAGATTATTCAAAACTCAGCTGCCTGGATTACTACACACACCAAATCTTCTGACCACATCACCCACATTTTCATCCAGCTACACTGGCTCCCTGTTCAGTTCCAGATTGACTACAAAAACCTTCTGCTCACCTTCAAAGCCCTCCACAACCTAGCCTCCACCTATCTCTCTGACCTCCTCCAGGAGTGCACCCCTCTAGTTCCCTGTGCTCTTTCACAGCTGGTCTCCTGGCCATTCCCACCTCATGCCTCAGCACAAATGAGTGCCAGGGCTTTCAGCTGCTCTGCCACCAGGCTCTGGAACTCCCTATCTCCACACATTCAACAGTCCGACAGCATAACATCATTCAAATCCCATCTCAAAACACACCTGTTCAAACTGGCTTATGCACTTAAACAGTGACTGTACCCTCCGACGACCTGCCCAGGCCTCTTCCACCTTGGCTCTGACCAGGTCAGAGGCCCTTGCCCCGGAACCACTAAAGGCAGGGCAATTGCTCTCCAGACTTTTGCTCTCTTTCTCCTGGACCATGACCTACATGCCCACAACAGGGCCAAAACGTGGAACCAGAGAAGTTAGTGTGCCAAACACAAGGTTTGCAACTTACTTTCTAGCAACAAGGAAAACCAAGTTCAGTTAGCAACCAAGCGTCTAACTCTGCAAGGACCCTGAGTGACCAGCTTCCTTGGATCTGCACCTCTGGAACAAGGACACAATAAAGACTGCTTCTGGAACCACAGCTCTTTCCAGCCTTCCTCTGCTGCTAACAAAAGCAGCACGCCTCAAACCAACTCTTCCCTCCATCCACTCAAGGATTGGTAACGCAACAACTGGGCATAGCTTTATCACAGCTGTACAGGCTAAGCAAGACTGTTTAACTTGTGTAATGTGTTTTAATGCTGTTTACTAAGTTATTGTTGTGAGTGTTTGCACTTAGGTTACTGGTTAGTTGGCTTCGCCAAAGCTAAGTGAGGTTAATTTGCTAATGCTGTTCTCAGACAGAGTCTTGCATGCAACTAAACATCCTCTGCACTAACCCAGACCCTTTGCAACACATATCACATTCACATAGACTTGTTTACAAATTTGCCTTCAACAGAGCTACACCCAAAGAGGCAACTCAAAGTCCTGCTTCTTTTCCTTTGTCTTTGTCCTGACCACACGGTCAGACAACACCTCCCCCGAGCAGCAGCCCTGTCTTTCACACACCTGCCTTTGTGTGTGTGTGTGTGTGTGTCTCTCTCTCTCTCTCTCTCTCTCTCTCTCTCTCTCTCTTTCTCTCTCTTAGTTAGTTAGTTTGTTAGAATTTGTGTGTTTCATTTGCTTTGCTTCCTTAATAAATAAACATATTTTTGGAATCACATCTGCTGTCTGTTTAATATTGCACAAGAGTGAATGAATAGTCAACCTCTGCTATGTCAAGACCTCTGAAATCCTTCAGGCTTTACTATTAATATAGTAATTTTGGTTATAGCTATTAAATTAATTATTAATCAAAATTCCAAATTGATAGTTCAATGAATTTATGAGACTGATATCATTAACTGGCTATCATTTTTTCCCTTTTTGGGAATGGTGCCCCATGAGGTGATTTAATGTAAATTAAGTCACATTATTTATCATAATTAATAATTATTATTAATAAGTATTAGTTATTTCTGATAGCCAATTTGATACTTTAACTGGAGATCTATTACGAGGTTAGGCCCTTGATGAGGCATAGATCCCATCAAATGGTGCTGCCATGTAAAACATAGTATTGTTATAGATTTCCAACAAATAGTATCCGCTTTTTATAATACCCAGTAGATTCCCTACATTTTTGAACGAGGCCCAGTATTGTTCCCTACAACATTAAGGTAAAGCAGTAAAAATATTATAAATATAGCATACGCTTGAACTGATATCAATTATTTTAGATGGGGCTGTTTTTAGGTGGCTTAAATACATTTTTTTTGCTGACCCCTCCACAGCAGTAGATTGCTTAGCATCCATGTCAGACTCTAGCCTGCTTCTCCAAACTGGAGGGGGGTGCCAACTGGCATTTACTATATTGTGTATGGATAAGTACCTCATGCAACCCTACTTCAAAAAAGCCAAAATATCCCTTTTAGGCCTTTCTCCTGTCAGTTGACTCCTGCTGCATATTCCTGTTTACCCACACAGATCCAGTTCATCTATGATCACAAACTAATCACCACACAGTGAACATGGGGCTTCTGGGTGACAGTTGCACCCAGGTCTGCATTTCTCAGTCATCTCTTTAACTCTGATATTAATAACACAGTCAGTATGTGGTCTGCAGCTCAGCCAATCTGCTCTGTTGTTCTGATATGATGAGGAAAATGTATAAATGGCTTTGTGTTCAATGTAAGTGTATGCATGTGTTGAGGAGCAGACAGGTGTGAATAAAAAATACAACAAAGATGAAATGTGCACAGTGTGCAGTGATGAGTGGTACAGAGGCACTGTAGTTGGCACAGTCCAGATCTGTAGCCTATGAAACGCCTGGAATGCATTTTTGATGGAGACCTGGGCAGGTGCTGTCTTTTCTAAAGTGCACATCGAGGTTGAGTGGTACTGATGAGGCAGCCAGTTGGTGAACTACATTGTGCTTGTTTTCCACTTGGCTGGACTGACGACCTGCCTGTACTCCATCTCTGCTGCTGAGGGGCGCGCTTATGGCAAGTCGTTTTAACATTTAATCACTAAGTCCGACTATCCGGAATTACCATTATAGATATCTATAACGTCATTTTGACTAGGAGTAATGTCATTGTGTCTAGTATGAATTTTAATTTAAGATATCTGTAACATCATTCTGACTAGTCAAAACTGAATTACAGATATCTGTAATGTCATTTTGACTAGTCAAAACTGAATGACAGATATCTATAACGTCATTCTGACTAGTCAAAACTGAATTACAGATATCTGTCATTTTGACTAGTCAAAACTGAATTACAGATATCTATAACGTCATTCTGACTAGTCAAAACTACAGTTACAGATATCTGTAATTCAGCTTTGACTAGTAAGATTCAAACTATTTTTGCCATTCATGTGTATGGGGTTTGTCATATCTTCAATTGATGATAATTAAAGATATCTTGAACTTGAATTATGACTAGTCAAAATTAAATTGTAGATATCTCAAACTGGAATTACAGATATCCACAATTCAGTTGCAGATATCCGCAATAACAATTGCAGATATCCGCAACTACATTGGAGATATCTATAATGACAAACCGCATACACATGAATGGCAAAAATAGTTTGAATCTTACTAGTCAAAACTGAATTACAGATATCTGTAATTAGAGTTTTGACTAGGCAAAATCTAATTAGGGATATCTTGAATAAGAGTTTTGACTAGGCAAAATTATGTTGCAGATATCAGTAATGAATATCCAGTCTAGCGACTAAATGTTAAAACGGCTTGCCATACGCGCTGATACAGCGGAGATGCGTCTGCGCGTATGGAAATCCGGCAAGGCGCGGATTGGCTGGAGATGACATCACCCAGTTCAGATCTATTGTTGGAAAGAGGATGAGCTCATCTTTTAGAAGCCAGTGTGTGAAGGCAAAGTGAGGAGAGAGGACGCAGCAGCTTCATATGACAGTTTCTATCAGAAAGCAGCAGTGGACACAAACCTGTAACTGAGACCTGCTCTGGACTTCTGCTACGACAAGAGGACGCATCCAGCGACTTTCCACAGGAGCGCTTTCAGTGAGTAGTGTTTTATAAGTAGCGTCACCATTTTGCATGAGAAAAAAGACTCCCTAAACACCAAAACAGCAGATATTCACAATTCGCTGCTTCTTTTTTCAGCCTGAATCTGTGCGCTAGGATGAGGCAAAGTAACAAGGTAGTAGGTTAGCTCCTAGTGTCAACAGTCCCTGCGTTCTCATAGAACAATGCAGAGACAATTTCGTCTAACGGATACGAAGTTGCAAGGAAAAAAGCGCCTGTTGGTATTACTGTAATACATGAAACAGTTGTTCATGTGGTGCGTGTTGTGCTGCAGATATGGTTTGGTCCCGGGAGAGAGAGACGGAGCGGCCTCCGCTGTCCGTCATCCTGCCGCGGCTCTACCTCGGAGCGGAGAGCGACGTGACGCAGGTGAGACGAGGACGACTAGTGTTGGACGAACAAAGTCTGTTCACATCGTTTACACAAGGAGAAAAAGTTTCAGTTCAGCGAAGTACAAACACAGGGGCGTCTATAGGATTTAATGACACTAGGATTTAATGACACTGGGGGGGGGGGGGGGGGGGGGGGGGGGGGGGGGGGGGGAATGTCTTGATGAACAAGCCGTATGCACTATGGCATTTTATTTTCCCCTAAAACTTTTTTCCCAGATTATGAATTGTGATTTTAAAAATATTAGCAGTAGAAATAGTAGTAGTAGTAGTAGTAGTAGTAGTAGAAACGGAATACTTTGCATCTGCTATTGTTAAAATTTCGAGAATTTTAGGGTAGGCTACTTGTACTCAAGTATCTCCACTTCATACTTCTTTTCCACCACATCTCAGAGCAGGGGTGTAAATTAGAGATGTACCGATACCACAGGGATACTGATTCCGATCCCTGAACCTTACGTATCTGCCGATACCGAGTACCGATCCAATACCAGTGCGTAAAATAAAAATGGATGGCATATGAATTGTTGTATGTCTCAACTCCGAAAACTCTATGTAAAATATTAAGAAATAAATACATAATAGTAGAATGAATGCCATAAAACTTTTTTTTATTATTATTATCCAGTGTTGACACATTTTAAAGGCTACAGTAGAATGTAGGGCTGCACGATATTGGAAAAAACTGACATTGCGATATTTGGGGGTTTTTTCAATATCAATCAATCAATTTTATTTTATTTATAAAGCCCAATATCACAAATCACAATTTGCCTCACAGGGCTTTACAGCATACGACATCCCTCTGTCCTTAGGACCCTCACAGCAGATAAGGAAAAACTCCCCCAAACAAACCCTTTAACGGGGGAAAAAACGGTAAAAACCTCAGGAAGAGCAACTGAGGAGGGATCCCTCTTCCAGGACGGACAGATGTGCAATAGATGTCGTACAGAACAGATCAGCATAATAAATTAACAGTAATCCGTATGACACAATGAGACAGAAAGAGAGAGAGAGAGACAGAGACAGAGACAGAAAGAGATGCAGGACAGACGATAATGACAGTAGCTTACAACAACATTAATGAAAGTAATATTATAATTATAGTTCTGGCTACTGTGGTACAATATGTTGAAATTATATATTAATATCTGATAGTATACATATGTGACAATAATCATATGTGTATAATAACAGTAGAAGTATGACTAATGATAACAGCAGCAGCAGGAGGCATCTGGCAGGACCACGGCAGCAGCACAACCACACACGTCACACTATCCAGACACCGCTGCAATACGAGTTAACCTGAGCGACAGTGGAGCACAAAGGCTCCGGAGAAGAAGCCGAGTTAGTGACATCCAGAATGGCCGAGTTAGCAAGATGCAGTAATAGGACGCGAGAGAGAGAGAGAGAGAGAGAGAGAGAGAGAGAGAGAGAAGGAGAGAAGGTGCCCGGTGTATTATAGGGGGTGCTCCGGCAGACTAGGCCTAAGTCAGCCTAACTAGGGGCTGGTACAAGGCAAGCCTGAGCCAGCCCTAACTATAAGCTTTATCAAAGAGGAAAGTCTTAAGTCTAGTCTTAAATGTGGAGACGGTGTCTGCCTCCCGGACCGTAACAGGAAGATGATTCCACAGGAGAGGAGCCTGATAGCTGAAGGCTCTGGCTCCTGATCTACTTTTGGAGACTTTAGGGACCACGAGTAACCCTGCGTTCTCAGAGCGCAGTGTTCTGGTGGGATAATATGGCACTATGAGCTCTCTAAGATATGACGGAGCTTGACCATTTAGAGCTTTATAAGTTAACAGTAGGATTTTAAATTCAATTCTGGATTTTACAGGGAGCCAGTGCAGAGAAGCTAAAACAGGAGAAATATGATCTCGTTTCTTAGTTCCTGTTAGTACACGTGCTGCTGCATTCTGAATTAGCTGGAGAGTTTTTAAGGACTTACTAGAGCTACCTGATAATAGAGAGTTACAGTAATCCAGCCTTGAGGTAACAAAAGCGTGGACCAATTTTTCTGCATCTTTTCGGGTCAGGATAGGCCTAATTTTCGCAATATTACGCAGATGAAAAAATGCAGTCCGTGAGGTTTGCTTTAAATGAGAATTAAAAGACAAATCTTGATCAAATATTACTCCGAGGTTTCTTACGGTAGTGCTAGAGGCCAGAGCAATGCCATCTAGAGAAACTATGTCATCAGATAAAGAGTCTCTGAGTTGTTTGGGGCCAAGAACAATAACTTCAGTTTTGTCTGAATTTAACATCAGGAAATTGGTGCTCATCCAATTTTTTATGTCTTTAAGGCAGTTATGGAGTTTAGTTAATTGATTACTTTCTTCTGGCTTCATCGATAAATACAACTGTGTATCATCCGCATAACAATGGAAATTTATAGAGTGATTTCTAATGATGTTACCTAAAGGAAGCATATATAGAGTAAATAGGATTGGTCCGAGCACAGAACCTTGCGGAACTCCAAAACAAACTTTGGTACGTAAGGATGATTCATTACGAACGTCAACAAATTGAAAACGATCAGATAAATAAGATTTAAACCAGCTTAGTGCTGAACCTTTTAGGCCAATTAAGTGATCCAGTCTCTGCAGTAGAATTTGATGGTCAATTGTGTCAAACGCCGCACTAAGATCTAATAAAACAAGAACAGAGACGAGTCCTTTGTCTGAAGCAATCAGAAGGTCATTTGTAATTTTAACTAGAGCTGTCTCAGTGCTATGATGCACTCTAAATCCTGACTGAAATTCCTCAAATAAATTATTATCCTGGAGAAAATCACACAGCTGGTCTGCGACTACTTTCTCAAGGATCTTTGACATAAAGGGAAGATTAGATATTGGTCTATAGTTGGCTAACACCTCTGGATCCAGGGTGGGCTTTTTTAGGAGAGGTTTAATTACAGCTACCTTAAAAGACTGTGGTACATAGCCTGTTAATAGGGATATATTGATCATATCTAATATATGAGTGTTAACTAAAGGAAAGACCTCCTTAAGTAGCCTAGTTGGGATGGGGTCTAAGAGACACGTTGATGATTTAGATGAAGAAATCACTGCGGTCAATTCTTGAAGAGAAATTGGGGAGAAGCAATCTAAATATATATTAGATTCTACAGCTGTGTTTGAGGTTAGATAGGTAGGCCTACCATCTGAGGGCAGGAGGTCATGAATTTTGCCTCTAATAGTTAGAATTTTGTCATTAAAAAAGCTCATAAAATCATTACTGCTAAGGGCTAAAGGAATACAAGGCTCAATAGAGCTTTGACTCTCAGTCAGCCTGGCTACAGTGCTGAAAAGAAACCTGGGGTTGTTCTTGTTTTCTTCTATTAATGCTGAGTAATAGTTTGCTCTGGCATTGCGGAGGCCCCTCTTATAAGTTTTGAGACTGTCTGTCCAGATTAAACGAGATTCTTCCAGTTTGGTTAATCGCCAATTCCTTTCAAATTTTCGCGATATTTGTTTTAACCTACGGGTTTGAGAGTTATACCAAGGAGCAAACTTTCTTTGCTTTGTTAACTTCTTTTTAAGAGGAGCTACAGAGTCGAGCGTTGTTCGCAGCGAGCCTACGGCGCTATCAACAAAATGATCAATTTGGGAGAGGTTAAAGTCGGCACGGGAAACCTCTGTTACTGAAGGTATTGGTATTGAATTTAACGACGAAGTAATCTTTTCCTTAAATTTTGTGACAGCACTATCTGATAAACATCTAGTATAGTAACTGTTGCTGAGTGGCGTGTAATCGAGTAAAAAGAAATCAAAAGTAATCAGATAATGATCTGATAGCAAGGGATTCTGTGGAAAGACTTTTAGGTTATCAATTTCAATTCCATACGTCAGAACTAGATCGAGGGTATGGTTAAAACAGTGAGTGGGTTCATGTACACCCTGACTGAAGCCAATGGAGTCTATTAATGAGATAAACGCGGTAGCCAGGGAGTCATTATCAACGTCGACATGAATGTTAAAATCGCCTACAATAATAACTTTATCTGATTTAAGAACTAAACTGGATAAAAACTCTGAGAATTCAGATACAAATTCAGAATACGGGCCAGGAGCACGGTACACTATAACAAATAAAAGTGGCTGCGAGGTTTTCCAGGTCGGATGTAAAACACTAAGAACGAGGCTTTCAAATGAATTATAATCTAGTTTAGGTTTAGGGCTGATTAACAGACTAGAGTTAAAAATGGCTGCAACTCCCCCTCCTCGGCCGCTGCCTCGAGGAATGTGGGTATTATTATGACTGGGAGGAGTGGACTCATTTAGACTAACATATTCATCTTGACACAGCCAGGTTTCAGTGAGACTGAGTAAATCAGTATGATTATCTGATATTAATTTGTTTACTAACACTGCTTTAGACGATAGAGACCTGATATTTAACAGTCCGCATTTAATTCTCCTGTTTTGTCTTTCTGTCACAGAAGAGGTTTTATTTTTTATGAGGTTGTTATGCACAACTCCTCTATGTTTAATTTTAGATTTAAATAATTTAGGTGGTCGGGGGACAGACATTGTTTGTATAAAACTATGAAAACTATGGGTGGGTAACTGCACTAGAAGCTCAGAGAGGCATATAGGACTGCAACTCTGAGTCCTGATCCCAACTCTGGGTTGTCAGGGATTTGAATTACTAATAAAATATGCCAGGTTCCTAGAAATGAGAGCAGCTCCATCCAAAGTGGGATGAATGCCGTCTCTCCTAATAAGACCAGGTTTTCCCCAGAAAGTTTGCCAATAATTAACAAAACCCACATAGCTTGCTGGACACCATCTGGACAGCCAGCGATTAAATGATGACATGCGGCTAAACATGTCATCAGTGGTCACATTTATATATTGCAATATTAAAAAACACAAGAATTTTCACCAGATGACTTAAAGTAAGAAAATTAAAAAATAGTGGCAGGGTTTTTACTCACCACAACTGCAGAGGCTACCAGCTTCATTTGAAACAGACTACATTATAAAAGGGCAGTTATTTATCATTCCCTCTGTGTCTTTATATTTTTATTTTTTATCCGATCCTGTTGCCTTGATAAAGTTAAATGCATGGCGCCGTCGTTTCAAACTCAACACTTCCTGAACTTGTTTCAAATTAAAAGCCACTTATAACCTTGGCTGAGAGAATCCCTCCATTTTCTAAATAGGCTTTTATTATGAAACATTTGCAGGAAGTTGTTGCGGAGAAATCATTGACTTTTATGTTTACGTATGGTACTTCAAATGTAGCCATCTGCTGGCGCTTTTTAGGTGACTACAACAACATTTCGGCTGGCACATGAACAGACACAGTGACTCAAATAATAGTAAAAGTAATAAACATAGGACAAGAATAACCCGATGACATCACACACGTCATGAAAGATGACCAGGGATAATTGGTGTGTATCATCTTGTAGTGTGTCATGTCTGTCAGCCAAGTCACAGCACGGTTTTATGACTCCACAATCATGTAATGTGACATAGTGACTTTTAGAGTGGGCAGAAAAGTTGTGTAGTGTGTACCAGGCATAAATCCTCCTTTACCGTTTCTCCCTCTTGCATGTCGCTCATTTTCAGTGTGTGACTGCAACGTGTGCATCGCATGTCTGGCGCACATGCGCACATCGCGATGGCGATGTTCAAACAATAGCGTGCGTATGCGTAATGATGTGAGGCATTACATGGTATCGGACTGGTCATAGGCTGTACTCGCTGATGCCCAATGCCGCATTTTAGGCAGTATCGGAGGCATTTCCGATACTGGTATCAGTATCGGTACAACTCTAGTGTAAATATAGACAGTACAGGCAGTGTGGTTTCCACCTTAAAGATATGCGTGTGTTCAAAAAGGAACTCTCATTTAATTAAAACAGTGCCATTTGCTATATGGCCTTGAATAAGGCAAACCCATCTCTGTCATGTTTATTTTTTATTTATTTGTAAAACAGTCACTAGCATCTATAAGAAAATGATATGCTCATTCTGTAACTGTAAATCAACTGTTCTATAAATCAGGCATTTTATAACTATAAATCCATAGCTTCCCCGAACTCCCATTGAAATTGTTAAATTAAATTAATAATTTCTTAATCTCTTCTATTCTTTGGTGTTTTTTGTTATAAAAAGATATGCAATGATGATTGCTGGGTAATATGTATGCTGATGTTATCCACTGTCAAGTCTCTGATCATATGACGAGACAATATGTACATCATATTGTGCACTAGGGCTTGTTGTATCTACCTTATGTCACTGTCTCAGAGGGAAAATTGTACTTTTTACTCCATGCACTTAGTTTTGATGTCTGCTTTAGTTACTCTGAAGGATCAGATTAAAAATACACAATAACATCAACTAATAAATGGTAATGTATTATTATAGATTAAACTACCAAGCAGTATCTATATATAAAGCATTTAACATACTGGTGTACATTATGTGTGCACGCACGTGATCACACAAAACGCACTGCTTGAATGACGCAGTGGACCGAGAACTTGCATTTTTAATCAAAATGCATCATTTACAGGGGCTTTGATGCATTAACTGAAATATAGGTTATTAGACTGGGGGCATTTCAGTTTTATTATTTGACCTATTTTTATATGTAAAAATATACATACATACATAATATATCAGTAAAACATTTGGGGCTGAAGCCCAGGCCTAACAACGCCACTGTACAAGTCCAACATTTTACATTTTACTTAAAGGGGACACTCCACGTGATTTTTTTTTTTACCTAGCTACAGATATTGACATAAGACTTCCCCAACTGATTACTTACAGTAAGACAATTATTTTTTATATTGCAAGTTTTCAAAAATTTTATGTTTAAAAATGTAACTGTAAATGCAAAGGTAAATGTATCTAAAGAAATGTGTGCTGATTTGCAGACATTTCCAGATCAGAAATCTGAACACTGGATAAAGTCAGGTTCAAAATTCTTGTGTCACTTTGCTGTCATATTAGAGCCAAAGGTTTTTACAGAATGAATTTTGGATATCTCTTTTATCACTCCATGACTCAGAAAATACCCTCCACAGCCATTAAAAAATTCATTCTCACCATGTTTTTACGAATAAAATGGTCTATAGGCCTAATTCAGGTTGTGAATGATGTATGAATAAACCTCTTTGTAAAAACCATCAGAATATAGATGGGAATAAAAGTGGAAAGTTTGATGAATGTAAGTGCAGATTTTTGGCTCAGAGTATGAGAAAAAAAAATCATTTTAGAAAACTGCCTTTACAGATATGTATTGTAATATACCATACATTTTTAGACAAAAATTAAGAAATAAGGGTAAACATTTTGACTAATAGATACCACCATGAAACTTCCCTTGTTGATAACTTTACTTACCCTTTGCTTACATTACAGAAATCTGAACCAAAATAAACACCTAAATGTGTATTTTTGATGCTTTCTTTTCACTAGTCTGAAAGAAGACGTTATGGAAACAAAATAGCATACATTCTCTAAATTGACCAGTGCATTCAATTCAGTACCAATTTAGTTTTATTTATAAAGCCCAATATTACTGAACACAATTTGCCTCAGAGGGCTTTACAGCATATGACATCTCTCTGTCCTTAGGACCCTGACAGCAGATAAGGAAAAAACAAACCCTTTAACAGGAAACAAATGGTAGAAACATCAGGAAAAACAACTGAGTAGGGATCCGTTTTCCAGGACTGACAGATGTGAAATAGATGTCGTACAGAACAGATCAATATTATAAATGTACTGTGATCCATATGACAAAATGATACATTAAGAGAGGGAGAGACAGAGAGAGAAAGTGAGACAGACAGAGAAAGTGAGAGCTGCAGTGTTCGAAAAACTGTGTTTTCACCTGAGGTTTCTCACTCTAAAATTATCAGATAAAAATGTTCTTTACATATCAAAAGTAAACATTTTTATAATGTAGTAGTGTTTTTTTTTTTAATAAAGGCCTATGATATTTTTGTAGTATTATTACTGATGCATTAATGTGTGAACAATATTTTACTGTTGTATTTGGTAGACGTGGAACTACTTTTGACTTCTTAATATGCAGTTGTGAAGTTAAATTTACATATTAAAGATCACATGTTTGTATGTAAAATCTGAGTTTGAAAATAAAGCATGGTGGTGGAAGTTAGTGGAGTATCACATACATTATTTGCCTGTGAAATGTGGTGGATTAGTGTAGTGTGAATAATAGTCACCTTTCACTTTTATGCACCACCAATTATGTCTGAGCCTACTGAAATATGACCATGACAGTAGACTGAATACAAAGAGCTTACTTCAGCAAGGGACAAAATATCCTCGGTTTGACAATCAACAGAGAAAATATAGGCTGGTTTCCTTTTTATTAAAAGTGCAAATATTTCATTGTATTACTGTTCTTGTGTGTGTGTGTGTGTGTGTGTGTGTGTGTGTGTGTGTGTGTGCGTGCGTGCGTGCGTGCGTGCGTACGTGCGTGCACACGTGCGTGTGCATAGGACGGGCTGGCCTCTCTGGGTATCTCCTATGTACTGAGTGTGAGTCGCTGCAGCCCCCAGCCCTCCTTTCTTCCTCGCTCCAGATATCTTCGCATCCCTATCGATGACTCACTTTGGGACGACCTGCTTCCCTGGATCCCACAGGCTGTGAACTTCATAGGTCAGGACTCTCAACAAACCATTTTACAAGCTGATTACCTACATTTTCTTGAACTAATATTTGCTACACAAGTAACAGTCCAGTTTCCCCACAGAACTTGTATTATTAAATTGAATTTGCCCTCAGGGGGATTAATAAAGTATATTAAAAAAAATAAAAAAATGTCCAAGTATTGATCATGTAACTCTTTGATTTGAACAACAGTTGCCTGCTGCTTGTCTCACACTGTGCTGTTTGACTAACTGTCACTGTGTGGTGTGTGTTCAGATGCAGCCATGTCCTCTGGTGCCTCCGTGTTGGTTCACTGTGCAGCAGGAATCTCTCGCTCTCCAGCTCTGGCTGTAGCTTACATCATGTACAGCCTGGGGATGGACCTGGACCATGCCTACAGGTACACATTCATATTACTGTACTGAAACTGTTGTCTGTTCCTCCCTTTTGGAGGTCCATAGAAACTTCTCAGATCAGTGCTGCAGTGAAACACATTATGGAGCCAGGACAATGACTAGTCTACAAAACCTTGGCATCAAAAACATGTGGCGTTAAAAACAAAACCTAAACTGAAAATAAGGAACACTGGCATTGAAACAAATGTATTGAAATATTATTTGGTACTGAAAAGCTTCAACTAAAAAAATAAAACACAGGCATTAAAAATATTTTATTTTGATTTTTTTTTTTGCAGTCTGATCCATTTTTAAATGACTATTTTCAAATTTTGTCTTCATATCACTCTTTTTTTCAGTGACAGTGTTGAGTGAATTTGTTGTTCAGTGAGTGACAGTGTTGTTCAGTAACAATGTTTTTTTTAGTGACAATGTTTTTTCAGTGACGGTGTTGTTCAGTGACTGTTTTTTTTTCAGTTACAGTGTTCTTTCAGTGACAGTGCTGTTCAGTGACTGTTTTTTCAGTGACAGTGTTGTTGAATGACAGTGTTCTTTTAGTGACTGTGATATTCAGTGACTGTTTTTCAGTGACAGTGTTTTTCAATTACAACTTGATGTCACTTTTCTGGCATGGAGAGGAAGGGTTTGAAAGTTGTAATGGTGACAGGATCTTGAAAGTAAAAATGTTGGTTGGACAGCTGCCTGTCACATCACTATTTAGTGTCCCTAAAATACATGATCAATCATTCAGGCATCTCTGGAAAGCCCAGCTCTCTTATACACTCGAAAAAAAGGATGCCACATCATGCAAAATTTCCTCAGGGAGCCCTTCAGTATGCACATGATTCTTTCCAGTTTGACAAAATTAAGGACTTCCCTTATCCATAGTGTGTGAAGGCGGTATTAGAGACTTCCACTTGAATAACACCAAGCATCTGGCTAGTAGGGTAACAGAGGCTGTAAAGGCTGCCTCAAGGGAAGCGCGTGGTACTGGTGGAGTTACACCAAACAATGCAATCACACCATTAGGTTCAACTGCTTTTTCAGTAACCCCCAGCAGTGATCTAAAGATTACCCCCCAGTAGGTCTGTAAAGCAGGACAAGACTAGAACATGTGTACATGAGTTGGCAGTGCTTGGCTACACCTGTCCCAAGTTGGGTTCACATCTTTATAGATCGTAAAGAGCCTAACCTTTGTGAAATAGGTGGGGTGTACTATTTTGCACTGGATCAGTCCATGTTTTGCACAGATAGATGATTTGGGTACTTTATCAAGGACACCCTCCCAAAGTTCCTCAGGAATCTCCTCTTGCAGATCCACTTCCCAAGGTTTTAATTTAGTCTTAATAGTTTAAAGAAACTATCCATCCATCCATTTTCTAACCGCTTATCCTCTTGAGGGTCACGTGGGGGCTGGAGCCTATCTCAGCTGACACTGGGTGAGAGGCAGGGTACACCCAGGACAGGTCGCCAAACTATCGCAGGGCAGTTTAAAGAAATTAGTCACAGGGAATGAATTTGAGCATATTAAATGACATCATTCCCTTCAGGGGCAGATATCCAGTTTACCACTGATCTAGTTTAAAAAAAAACAACAACAACAAAAAAAAAAACAGTACAGGAGTGGATCAAAAGTAGGCTTTGTACTGGAATATCATAGTGACGGCCTACATTTCCCATCATGCCGGACTGAGTAGTTTGCTGTTTTATGTTCCAAAATGCAAATGTTATCTTTTGTCAGTGTTTGTATTGTGTCTGTTCATAACATGGTGGTTTGTAATTGTAATCTAAGTGAAGTAACTGTTTTATTTCTTCAATTTCTTTGATACTGTCTGACTGCACTGTAGATCAGCGTATAATATCAATCACAATAGTACCACATCCTTTCTGTTCCCTTGTAAGGTTTGTGAAAGAGCGCCGGCCCTCCATTTCCCCAAACTTCAACTTCCTGGGTCAGCTGCAGCACTTCCAGGGCACTCTGAGCCAGAAGGCCTCTGGTGACGACCTCCTCATGAAGCAGCTGAACAACTGTCCGCCATCCATCAATGGCAGTGTTATCCACACTCACACCAGTCTCAATATGAATTATCAGGCTGACAGTGTAACCAGCAACTCAGCAGAGCTCAAACAGGCACACACAGAGAATCTCCACTTCACAGCTAAAACACAGCAGAGACACTCACATTTAGATGGAAGTGGAAACCAGCTGCTTTCCCTATCAGGGAAACTTCGGACTCTTCATTTGACTCTTAATCAAAACCAGCAGCAGGTCCAGACGTCATGTGAAGTTCCAGCTCCAAACCCCTGTGAGACAGTTAAACCAGCAGCAATGCCCACACAGCTCCCAGCAGGCTCTGCTCCTCTATCAGAGAAACGCAAAAGCCTCACCCTCCTCTTGACCCCTTTGGGAATCTGTCCTCCCTCCTCAGCAAACAGCAGCCAGCAACCAAGGGACACCGCCATGTCCAAAACTTTCCACAACAGGGAGACAGGAGAAAAGCCCGAGGCAAAGACACAGAGCACCCCTGGCTCCTATAGGCAGGCAGAGGACACTTGCAGGGAGCAGAGTCCCTCCCGCCAGTGTAGCAGAGCTGAGGTGAAGGAGCAGGGCCTGCTGTCACCATTCAGCTTCACCCTCAACAAGCTGCTGGGCTGGGGGGAGAGATTGCTGCTGGGAGGGCTGTTTGCCCACCCCGTAAGAATGGGACAGCCTTCACTGCCTTATAGGTGCTGAGGGAGCAGCTGATGTTAAGGATGCTTGTTGTGTCCATTTATTTCTGTGCATGTTTGTCAAATTGAACTAAACCACACACATGTGGTACATAATACATACAGGAGGCCTGAAAGAACTTCTGTCTTCTATTTATTTATTTATTTATTTATTTATTGCAGAGCTAAATATAAGAAGTATACTTGACCATAAACCTCCACACAAATGCATCTTGTTTATTACATATTGACAGTGGTCAGCTTATCTTGACATTTGTAAAATTGAGTTATTTTCAAAGACTTTTGGTACAATGGTCTGAGATGTATTTACTGATGATTGAAGATTACATTTCAAGTGTGTCTTATTGCCTTTTTCTCAGTGGTTCAGAGCGACACTTGTCAATATTGTTATCTGGTTTTAAGGTCTCATCACTCTCATGACCTCAGAAATTAGGGAGCTTTTATAAGTAAAAACATTGAAATATGACTGTTATTTCTGTTTAATCATAACAAATATTATCATTTTTGATACAAATACATGGTCTCCAAGAAGCAACATTAGGACATTATTTTCTCTGATATTTGCATTTCTCATAATATTTCCTTTCTATATGTTTGTGCCATGACACACATGGAGTGTGAGGGTAGGCAAATATATTGTGCAGGAGAGCTAAAGTAATGAAGGGGTCCCAGTGTAGTAATGCAAGTTTTTGAGCTGATAAAGACATTTATGTTTCAAAGAAGACACTGCCTTATAGAGACTTTAAATATGGGTACAGTTTATTGGTCATGAAAACCTTTAAATGGCTATTTGGCCCCAATTCCAGCTACAAGCAAGATGTTCAATTCAGTATTTCAGACAGTAATCAAGGCTGAATTAGCAAGCAGGCAAAATGAGCACCTGCAGAACTCAAAGGGCTCTAACAGCACCAAGCTTACTATGAGTGGTTTGTACTCATTTAATTGGAGATGTATTTGGGGATATGCACCAATGAAGCACACAATTTAGGCTTTATGGTGGCACCTCCTTCATCACCTCATCCTGCAGGTTCCTGTGTCAAAATGTAGTTTAAAAACCTAAAATATAGCTGCAAGCGGCAATTCCGGGGTTCAAGCCAGTATGGATGTTTGAAACTTGAAAGCTGGGTAGATTCAAGACCATTGACAGTTCAGGATACCTGCATTAAAGATTACCAACAGGTTTTATGACAATCAGACAGATGCTCATTCATTTATGTCCAAATCTCTATGAGGCCACGCTCTTGTTTGGAAGCACTGTTGCTGTCCACCAAGTTTGGTGATGCTTGAATCAATGAAGGTTTCTTCATTTGATTTACATCAATTTTGTGAAAGGCCATTGCACTTGTTTGTAACTTGTGGTGCCTCCTATTGACCGAATTTCAAATAATGTGATAACGTGATTGATAATAATTATTTAACATACCCTGCAAGTTTTGTAATGATTGGACAATCAATTTCAGAATTTTAGTCTGACATGTGTTATTGTATGCCCATTTTTTGTATTTGTGGTGCCACCTGTGGTGACCTGGTGGTCACATTTGGATGAAGACATATTGGCCATTTTTACACTTTATTCAGTTGACACTGTCAGCGACCTCAGTAGCATGTGGAAGAGCCACACGCAGCCACAACAGCTTGGCACCTCCTCCTCATGCTGGTCACATTTTGCTGTGGGATGGCATCCCATTCCTCAACCAGGAGTTGTTGAAGGTCAACCAGCATGGTTGTGTTGGTCACTCTAGCACGTACAGCATGCCCAAGCTGATCCCACAAGTGTTCAGTTGGGTTGAGGTTTGGACTCCAATCAGATGCCATACACCTGTGACTGACACACACCTAGCAGCACTTGAAGCTCAGAACAAGAGTGAATACCAACAGGAGAATGTTGCAGGGGATTTTGACACATTGTTTTGGGGCGTTACTCACATGTTTAGCTGTGTTGCTCATTCCACTAATACATGATCCTTACAAGTTGTTGGCCTACTTCGTTGTAAAGGTGACTAGTCAGGCTTTCCAACAATATAACATACAACACCAATTGGTATAATTAAAGGGAAGAAATAATTGACTGAAATAACGTTTCCAATTTTTTTTTTGAGGAGTTAAGTATAATGTGTGTGTGTATATTCTGGTGGTAGGTACTCATATATGGACTGACTGAGCTAAAGGGGCTATCCTCACAGGAGGCTGAACAGGAATATCTCTCCGGTCCAGTTTATGATCAAAGGTAAGGGTGGATAATGACATTTTCAAATGCAATTTGAAGTAAAATATCAACTTGGCAATCATTGTGTTCTCTGTTACCAATTTAGTGAAGTGTAATACTTCATACAGAAGCTTGCAAAGAGAAGGAAGATCAAGGAATGGAATTTCCATTAAAAATGGGAAGAAAAAAAATACTTGTCTCTCTGACTTTTTATTTCTTATTGTTTTTTGTACATTTTCATATATTTATACATGTTCAGTGTAATATTTTTAATCTGTCCCCACAGTTATCCTTGTGTTTTGTGTTTTCATAATCTTTAATATCTGGTGAGGAGTCAGTCAACTCAGCTTTATTTATCAATCATACAATAACAGAGGTCTGGGCGGCAGTAGCTCAGTCCATAGGGACTTGGGTTGGGAACCGGAGGGTCACCTATTCGAGTCCCCGTCCGGACCAAATATGGAGCGTGGACTGGTGGCTGGAGAGGTGCCAGTTCACCTCCTGGGCACTGCCGAGGTGCCCTTGAGCAAGGCACCGAACCCCCCAACCGGTCGGGCGCCTGATCAACATCTCTCCACTTTGTGCATGTATAGGTCCTGTTTGTGCATGTGTGTGTCTTTCGGATCTCTGTGTTAATGACAACGGAGTGAAAAAATTGAATTTCCCCTCAGGGGGATTAATAAAGTATATGAAAAAATAAAATAAAATAATAATAATAATAATCTTTTAGGGAACTTTTGATGGAGATCTGAATTGTACATGCAATTGTTATTATTTCTGGGTGTACTTAATTATTATTATACCATTATACTGAATTATAACTAGTGTTGGGCAAACTACTAGTTAAGAGTAATGAAATTACTTTTTACTCCTTAGTAAGTAAAGTAATCACTGTTCTGATCTGTTTACTTTATTTCACAAGTAATCAGTTACATTACTAGTTAGCCTACTCCATTCCCTCAAAAAATAAATAATAATAAACAACACAGAACAAAGTCTAGCATGACAGCGGAGCGTACCGACACTGTGTAGTCCAGGACGGGTGTTTAAGTGTGTGTGAGAGGAGCAGAGAGGACCGCGGAGGTCAGGTGGGGCGGGCCAACACTGCGTTACCGGCAATGGTAACGTAACCTGGGCTTGTAACTATAATCTAATTACTATTACTAATTCATTTCTCCTATTTTTGATAATCAAATTACAGAAATGCGTTACTAAATAACAAGTTACTGCTCAACAATGATTATAACTATTTAATAAAAAAGTAGGCTAGTACTATTTGGGTACAACAATGACGAAAGTTGAAGGGTCCTAAAACTGCGGTCCTGAAACTGCAGTCTCGGGTACTGCAGCTTTCCATTTTTGGCGTGTGGAGGTTGCAAATTTGGCTCAAAAAATATCTGTGATCAAGACTGGAAGAACTAAAAAGTAATATCAGTAGCTTAAAAGATAATATATCCCCAGGAAATGATGGACTTACTGGCAAATTTTATAAGGTACTTCAAGATCAAAAATTTCTTCATTTCTATTGTATGTCTTTAAGGAGGCCATAGAAGTCTGTAGGCTTCATGCAACTATGTGCCAAGGTTTAATTACCTCGGTACCTAAACCTAATAAGGATCAACTGCTGATTGAGAATTGGAGACCAATAACCTAAATCAATAATGATGCAAAATTATTGGCTCACATCTTTGCAGAAAGACTAAAGTTTTGTTTAGACACAATTATAGACGATGGTCAGTCTGGTTTTATGCAAGGCAGACATATCAGTAACAATATTCAATTAATCTTAGATTTGATCGACTATAAAGATTACATGGCAGACAACGGTTACATTTTATTCATAGACATATATAAAGCTTTTGACACTGTAAAGCATGATGTGCTGTTGAAAGTGTTGGATTTCTTTGGGTTTGGTCAATACTTTAAATGGGCGATAAAAACTTTGTATAGTGATTGCAATAGCTCAGTTAAACTTCCTTAGGGGACCACTCACAGGTTCAGCATTTCTCATGGTATAAAACAAGGAGATCCGGCAGCCCCTTTTTTGTTCCTATTGGTCATGCAAATAATGGCCCTTCATATACAGTACAGGCCAAAAGTTTGGACACACCTTCTCATTCAATGCGTTTTCTTTATTTTCATGACTATTTACATTGTAGATTCTCACTGAAGGCATCAAAACTATGAATGAACACATGTGGAGTTATGTACTTAACAAAAAAAGGTGAAATAACTGAAAACATGTTTTATATTCTAGTTTCTTCAAAATAGCCACCCTTTGCTCTGATTACTGCTTTGCACACTCTTGGCATTCTCTCGATGAGCTTCAAGAGGTAATCACCTGAAATGGTTTCCACTTCACAGGTGTGCCTTATCAGGGTTAATTAGTGGAATTTCTTGCTTTATCAATGGGGTTGGGACCATCAGTTGTGTTGTGCAGAAGTCAGGTTAATACACAGCCGACAGCCCTATCAACCAATCAGAAAAACGAGTGGCCATCATTACTTTAAGAAATGAAGGTCAGTCAGTCCGGAAAATTGCAAAAACTTTAAATGTGTCCCCAAGTGGAGTCGCAAAAACCATCAAGTGCTACAACGAAACTGGCACACATGAGGACCGACCCAGGAAAGGAAGACCAAGAGTCACCTCTGCTTCTGAGGATAAGTTCATCCGAGTCACCAGCCTCAGAAATCGCAAGTTGACAGCAGCTCAGATCAGACACCAGATGAATGCCACACAGAGTTCTAGCAGCAGACCCATCTCTAGAACAACTGTTAAGAGGAGACTGCGCCAATCAGGCCTTCATGGTCAAATAGCTGCTAGGAAACCACTGCTAAGGAGAGGCAACAAGCAGAAGAGATTTGTTTGGGCCAAGAAACACAAGGAATGGACATTAGACCAGTGGAAATCTGTGTTTTGGTCTGATGAGTCCAAATTTGAGATCTTTGGTTCCAACCGCCGTGTCTTTGTGAGACGCAGAAAAGGTGAACGGATGGATTCCACATGCCTGGTTCCCACTGTGAAGCATGGAGGAGGAGGTGTGATGGTGTGGGGGTGTTTTGCTGGTGACACTGTTGGGGATTTATTCAAAATTGAAGGCACACTGAACCAGCATGGCTACCACAGCATCCTGCAGCGACATGCCATCCCATCCGGTTTGCGTTTAGTTGGACGATCATTTATTTTTCAACAGGACAATGACCCCAAACACACCTCCAGGCTGTGTAAGGGCTATTTGACCAAGAAGGAGAGTGATGGAGTGCTGCGGCAGATGACCTGGCCTCCACAGTCACCGGACCTGAACCCAATCCAGATGGTTTGGGGTGAGCTGGACCGCAGAGTGAAGGCAAAGGGGCCAACAAGTGCTAAACACCTCTGGGAACTCCTTCAAGACTGTTGGAAAACCATTTCAGGTGACTACCTCTTGAAGCTCATCGAGAGAATGCCAAGAGTGTGCAAAGCAGTAATCAGAGCAAAGGGTGGCTATTTTGAAGAAACTAGAATATAAAACATGTTTTCAGTTATTTCACCTTTTTTTGTTAAGTACATAACTCCACATGTGTTCATTCATAGTTTTGATGCCTTCAGTGAGAATCTACAATGTAAATAGTCATGAAAATAAAGAAAACGCATTAAATGAGAAGGTGTGTCCAAACTTTTGGCCTGTACTGTATATAATGATTCCTTTCAAGGTATCAAAATCTTAGGAAAAGAGATTAGGGGCCCTATTTAGATGGTCTAAAGCGGACGGCGGAGGGCGCATAATCCATGTCGCAAGTGTCATTGCTATTTAGATGCAGGCGCAGTTGTCATTTTCACGCCCTGCGCCCTCGTCGTCTAACTAGCAAATGAACTTGCGCTTCTCTGGGTGTGTTGGTCTAAAAATGAGGAGTGGTCAGGCACAGTCATGGCGCGTTGCTAGTTAGATGACGTAAAAAACAAATGCGCCAGTGACCAACAAAAACCTGGTCTAAAGTCAACGGCGCAGTATTTCGCTGTTAAACAAGTTAGTAATATGCGTCTCTACACAACGCGCGTGCACTCTGCTCAGACACACACGGAGCAGCCACACATATGCAAAAGATAACAAATAAAAATATGATTACAGTGTGAAAGGTTATTATTGTGCACATTAAAATATTTATCAGAAACATGTCTTAATAGTCAGTCATTAATCAGAATGATCTAATCGCAGTAATAATGATCATCATAATTTGTAATAATGACAAATGAAATTGTGAAATTATCTGACCAATCAATCATTTTTTTGATTGAAAACCAAAGCCCACACATTGCATTTATTTTAACATGTTATACTAGGCTACATTATATTATATTATTATATTGTTATCTGAGTGTAGAGAGGACACGCATGCAAATAAGAGGCTGAACACAGCTCTAGGAAACGTGAAAACAACAACAAACGTGGGTGGGGGAGAAAACGCTGAACAGGTCCTAGCTGCAGGATCAGCACCTTGGGGAGCTCCGCGGCAGTCCTGACAGCTGTGCTCTGTTATATGATGAAAACAGGTTTGAATAGCCTAATATTCCACAGATATTTAGTAAGATCTTTCTTGTATTAGTGATCCCACGCCTGCTTTACCTCGGGGAGCTTGGGTGCCTGTCTGCTGTCCCCGTAGATCTGGTTCTGACGGGCCTTCACCTCCCGCACAAGGAGATCCGTCTCCTCAGCTGTAAAACACTCTTTCCAGTTGGTAGGTCCGCCATCTAACTAGCTCTCCGCCATGCGCTCCAATCGCGCCTGATTTAAAAGGAATGAGAGGTGACACTCTGATTGGCTTATTGAATGATACGCCCAAAACACACCCATGACTAATTCACAGAGTAAGTCCATTTCTTTTAGACTCTCCGCTATGGCGCACAGTCTTAAAACGCGCTGTCTAACTAGCAAGTGACTGGGACACGCCCATGCGCCGCACGCCTGGCGCTTCGCGTTTTAAACCATCTAAATAGGGCCCTAAATGTTGTCAACTGGCTGATGACACTGCTATCTTTTTAAAGGACGAAATGCAGGTTAGAAAAATTATAAATTTTTTCAATTTGTTCTCTAAAGTAACAGGTCTAACTCTGAACATTAAAAAGTGCACTCTTTTTCCTCTTAAAGATGGCAATATTCATACAACGGAATTCGAAGGTATTCCTGTTAAAGAGGAAGTAACATATCTATGAATAAATATTTGTAAAAATCAAGCAAACAGAATACAGTCCAACTTCCAACCCCTTATTCCAAAAATAAAAAATACATTTGATTTGTGGCTCATGAGAGATTTATCACTCCAAGGTCGGGTACTTTTGTCCAAAACTGAAGGATTATCATGTCTAGTTTACCCAGTGAAAGTATTAGATGTACCCACATCAGTTATCAAAAAAATAGACTCTATCTTACTCAATTTTTTATGGAGAAACAAGCCTCACTACCTAAAAAGAAATCCGTTGTGTAATTCATACTGTCAAGGAGGTTTAAATATGCTTGACTTTCATTCCTCTAACATAATCTTCAAGTTGAATTGGATTAAACATTACATCAAAAATAAAGACAAGTTATGGTACTTAATTCCTAATCTTGCTTTTGAAAAAATCGGTGGCATAGAGTTCTTTCTTAAATGCGATTTTGATGTTAATAAACTCCCCATTTGGTTATCTAATTTTCACAGGCAGGCGCCATTATGTTGGCTTCTTATGTACAAACATAACTTTTCTCCCCACAAACATGGAACAATAACAATATCAGATAAAAATAAGTCAATATTTTATGATAATTGGGCTAAAAACAATATTTTGTTCATATCACAATTGCTCAACAATTTTGGTCAGTTACTTACATATTCAGAATTCTTAAAAACATTTGGTATTCCAATACCTGCACGAGAATACTGTATAATATGTGATGCAATACCAGCATGTTACTTAAGATTGTTACAAGGCAGCAGTGTATCTAATGAACAGCCAGTGTTGAAGACTGATATTCTACTAAATGGCGTCAATATAAAAGATAACAAATGCAATAACAGACTGTTTAGACATATGATACGCTGCCCTACAACTTCTCGTAGTAATAATTATTGGAATAATCAATTTGTTAACATTAATTGGAAATTGGTGTGGATTTACTATAAAAAAAAATTGATCAATAATAAAATTAGTGAAGTTAATTTTGAAATTATACATTCAATTTATCCAACAAACCACTTTATTATAAAGTACAGACCTGATCTTTCTGAATCCTGTGTATTCTGTAACACTGACACAGAAACAATTGTACATTTATTTTATGAATGTATTTATGTTAAATTCTTTTGGATAGATGTTGAAAATGTGTTTGAATCTTGATGTGGGATTAAGATTAATCTGCAAAAAAGGGATGTTATTTTTTATTTTGAGAAAAAGAATATGCAGAAGTCATGTTTTCTTACTAAACCTTCTTATTTTATATGGAAAGTTTTATGTACATAAATGCAAATGGACTAAAAGGAAACCCAATATCCACCAGTTTAGGAATGAAATGAAACTGTATTTTGAAACACTAAAAGGACTGATGAATAAGAAAGCCATCCAGACTATGAACTTCTACGAAGCCTTAAAATCCTCATTTTAAATTGAATGTATGTACCCCTGATTCTGTTAATCTTTGTATATTTTTGTCAATGTTCAAACTGAAGAATTGAAATAAAGTTTATTAAAGAAAAAAAAGGTTGCAAATTTGGAGAAATTGTCAAATATGAGGCAAGTTGTGCTAAGGTAAAAATACGTGCCAGCTTATCGTTTGCTTCTACAGCTGACATATTGGAATAGACTTCATGTGTCAAATATTTTTTACGTTATTTGAAGATTTATGTTTGTCGCAAATTCGCTACATTCGGCCATAACGGCTGCATCGAAATAATGCTGTATTTAGATGGATTTAGATTTAGATCTTTGGGAAATGCCATTCTAGTTCATTTCTATAAACATTCTAAAAATAGCATGCTGGGGTATAAATGCAATTTCTGTGCTTTTTCACAACACAGAACAAAATGAATGCATCAATGTTCTATGGGAAGCGACCAGGTGAACTTCAAACCAGGGTTCCACCAGTCGAAAATGACGACAGCTGTCTTGACAGTGGGGATAGTAATGAAGACTACACTCCTACATCAGGTGATGAAAATGGCAGTAACAGGGGCGTTGGCACTATCTACTAAGCTACCGACGCACCGGTTTCATCACCTGGTTAGGAGTGTAGTCTGTACGCAGCCTACACAGGCCCCATGCACAGAGGCACCACCTTGCCGCAGCGGTATCGGGCTTGATCCCAGCCTGCGGTGGGCTGGGTTTTGTGAATGTAACCATGTGTACATGATGTGTATATAATGTAGTTAAAAATGTCTGCACTCTTAAACAGTGATTTCTTTTTTCTACACCAGGTGATGAAAGCAGCAGTAGTGAGAGTACTGACAACAGGAACAGCAGTGATGAAGACTCTGATGGAAATCACAATGCACTTCCTAGCACCAGTGTTCCAAGTGAAAAGCTTGAGCTCTCTTTCACATTGAACTATAATAGTTAGTGTTATAGTCGGGAAATTGAAAATAATTGTGTGGCATCAATAAAATCTACATACCTGAGACAGGAAAATGTGTTTTATTATTATTTATTTATTTTGTTTACCATATTTTTCCATTTATGCCTGTTGTTGCTAATTTGCATCATACCTAAATTTATATCTATTCTATGTGCTAAAGACAAATTAACAATCTCCACTTAATTTAGCATCAGCTTGAAAGCAAAAGCACATATAATTTTTTTTATATATATAATTGTAAATACATTCAGGCATCAAGGGGATAAAGGGACTGTTAATTTCACACACGTGTGCCTGTATTTTTCTCTCTTTTTACTAGAATAGTAAAGTATTATAGTATTTATTTTAGTATAGTATTTTTACTAGCATAGNTACATACGCTCTAAAACTAAAGCAAATGCATTTTGACAGGGTTGTTACACAAAAAAATCCAAGAGCTGGGCAGAAATCTGACAGCAGAAATTCCGCGAGCAGTGAGCGCACAGAAGCAGTTTGAGCGTGAGGAGAAAAGCCAAAGCTCGAGCAGGAAATCTGTGCAAGCAATATCTGAGTGCGAGCAACAATGAGGGGGCTGTCCAAGGTGTGTCACCCCCATGACACACTTTGGACAGCCCCCTTATTTGCATTTACATTACTTCATGCCTTTTTGCATGCATGAAGAAATGTAAATGTGAAAAGAATTCAGGAAGGAATGTAAATGTATAAACTGTATTAAATGTCTGAAGGAATGTAAATGTGCAAAGGTGTGAAGGAGTGTAAATGTATGAAGAAGTGTAAATGTATAAAGAATGAGGGAAGGAATGTAAATGTTAAAATGTATGTAGGAATGTAAATGTACAAAGAATGTGTGAGGGAATGTAAAAGTTAAAATATATGTAGGAATGTAAATGTACAAAGAATGTGTGAGGGAATGTAAATGTTAAAATATATGTAGAAATGTAAATGTACAAAGAATTAATTTTAATTTAATTTTTTAATTTATTTTATATACTTTATTAATCCCTGAGGGGAAATTCAATTCTTTCACTCTGTTGTCAATTACACACAGGTCTGAACACACACATGCACAAACAGGACCTATACATGCACTAAGTGGAGAGATGTCAGAGTGGGGCCGCCCATGACAGGCGCACCTAGCTGTTGGGGAGTTCGGTGCCTTGCTCAAGGGCACCTCTGCAGTGCCCAGGAGGTAAACTGGCACCTCTCCAGCTACCAGTCCACACTCCATATTTTTGGTCCACATAGGGACTTGAACAGGCAACCTTCCGGTTCCCAACCCAAGCCCCTATGGACTGAGCTACTGCGTCAAGAATGTGTGAGGACGCATTTTATCAGTTAATTAATGACTACATTTATGTTTTATGCATTTTTGGTGCAATTTAATGGCATAAGAATTTATTTATTGATTCATTTATTTATTTATGTATTTATTTTTAATGTTGGCAGTTCCGGTCCTCCATACAGGGGGAAAGTTTTTTCTTTCAACATTGCTCAATAAGAACATAATTTAGGAGGCGCACTGGAGATGCAGGTTCTTTTGTTTTGTTTTTCTACATTTTTGAGTTCTTTTAAGAATGAAATAAACTGATAAAACAGGTAGTTTTAGAATTATATTTGAGGGCAGAAGGTACTTACAGGGGCCCAACAGCACGTTAATATGGCTATAACATTGATTTTTCTGTGGTCATCTGATTTCTCAGTGACATCTTGCAAATGAAGTAAAATGGAAATGTTAGATGTGAAAATGTGTTTATATTTTCTATTAATTCTACATTGACAATGACAGTAACATGTTGTTATTTTTATTATCAGCCATAAGTAAAAAAAACAAGGTTGATTTTAAAAGATTAAAAGTATCAATACTGATTAGAATTGCACTGCGTTGAAATGAGTAATGTGTTTTTAATGGATGTGGATTTCATTGTGCTTTCTGTAATGTCAGTGGTAATTAAATAGACAAGTGCCTTCATGACAGCTGATTGTGGGCTACAAGTTAACTCTGACTTTCGGGTAGGAACTTTCTCGCAGGTATCCAGATAAAAATGTGAGATATGTGTAGCCTCATGGTGGATTTCCAAAGAAAGCGTTCCACATTTAGTTTCAAATACAATGACGTAGTGCTCTAGAGGAATGAAGATAACACCTATAGGTAACATAACACAGCCTTGTTAACCCGTTTAGCTTGATCCAGCTAAAAGACGCGCTGCAGAGAGCCTGTGCGAGCTTTCTGTTTAATAACAGATGAGATATCATTCCGGCTAGGCCTTAATCATAGTGACAGTGATATAGTTTGGCCCTCGTGCTGCTCTCATAACCTGCGCGGGCCACTAGGTTGAAATGATGTAACGATTCTTCAGATGACCAAATAAGGAAACTGACACACGAAAGTGGAATTTGTTCTGGTTCGTTTTGTGGTTTAATGAGAAGAGAGCTGGAGTGGTGTCGTGCTCTGTCATGTCTTTTCGGACACACAGATACACCCGCTCGTGTGTGTGTGTGTGTGTGTGTGTGCGTGTGTGTGAGAAGTAGTGCGCAAGCTACTGTAGTTTCTTGAGGAAAAAGAAAAGAGGAAGCAGTTCCGCCCTAGAAGCTGAAGCCTGGAGGCCGAGAAAACAGTCGAGAGAGGAGAAAAGAAGCCAGCGAGCAACACAGCCCCGCTCCGAACCCCAAGACTACAGCACAAACACCGTGGGGTTGGCGCCTTTTACTTGTTGCTTCGGCAGATGGACAGTTAAAGTCCAGCGGGACTGTGGTTGTCAGGTCTGGTTGTGTTGAAAACGTCTTTGTAGAGAATGAGCTTCACGTAAAAGAAGTTTCAGTTCGAAGCTGCGGCGATTAAACCGTCCATGCGGGTGTCTTACGGTAACATTAACGTTAACAGGCGGGTCTACTGAGGACTTAATTTTGGATTTTGTCGTGGTTTGGTTGTCTTTGGCTGCTGTTGGTGAACGGTGGGACTCGGGCCCTAGAAGGTTTCTGATCAGGACAAATCCCAGTTCCAAACCAGTATGAGTGGAGAAGAGGAAAGATTCAAATTGGTGGTGGTGGGAGGAGGAGGGGTGGGGAAGAGCGCCCTGACCATCCAGTTCATCCAGGTACCGATTCTCTTCAAAATCTGCAGCTTACCTACTTTATCACACACACACACACACACACACACACACACAGCATGTAGGTTAGGACATACAGGATATTCTGTTAAATGTAATATTTCTATGAAATTATGATGTTGGGAATACTGTTATTGAAGGTAATAAGTTGTAATGACTTTTCAGGTTGTGAAAAACCTCTAGCTAGTCATTAGCCTAATAGTCAAGTTATTAGTCAGAGGTTTCTCACTTGCTCAATCTCATTGGAGGAACAAAAAGTAAATAACAGGGCTGATCAAGTCTGGAATAGTGGGCTACATGTGAATAGGTTATTAATAAATAGGTTATTAATAGGCCTTTATTCCGGTCCAGATTCTCTTCAGCTCCTTTCCAGAAGGTAAGTGGTCAAACTGTTTATTGCAGAGGTTGTCCTGATGAACCAAAGAGCTAAACTGGCCAAGCAAAGCAAAGTGAGGGGCATTTTTCAAACCTGGCAACCCAGATTTTTTTTGTATACATTATCCCTACCTCTGAGGTGGTCATAAAGTCAAAATATAGGTCCATTTCTCGACCACCCAGTAAGTTATTCATATTCCTTTAGTCCATATGGTTCCACTGATCAAAAGAGTTTGTGGTTTTCATAAATTTTAATCCAAGTTGTAATATATTTTTTTTAACAGCAGAGAGTGCTGTTGTGTTGGTATTCTGGGTGCAGTAATTATCGGATGCCGAAAAATGAGTCACATAACTCTCTCTGATGTGATGTGATCAAATGAATAATCACAATTGATATGTTATTCAAAGCCTTTTTTTTTTTACAGGTAATATTAATACTGGTTTAAATTTTTAAAATTATTGTATTTCCCATCTTTGCTGAGCAACAGTTTTGTGTGAAAGGAATTAAAGCCTGTCCCATATCAAGGTATGTCCCAAATAAGCCTGTTGAGTTCAGTGATTTAAGTTTATGTAATATAACAAGAAGCCCATGTTTTCTTTACGGTATAATCACCTGAGAAAAAGGAATGAGCTGTTTAGGGAGCGGCTCCTCATTTATGGAGACCGCCATGTTCACTGCCATGGTTCTACAGTAGCCCAGAACGGACAAACCGAACGCTGGCTCTAGATAGGGGCCATTTGCGTTTTCATATAAGTCGACATAGTTAGGAGCATATCTGTGACAAGCAGTATCAGAAAACACTGGTTTGTAATGTGAAACTGCTTTATTCAGTGCTTTTACCGGTTTAAATCACTGGGTCTGTTTATTTTTGAGAGGAAGAGATCTCTGTGGATAATTCAGCTCCTGCTAAAAACCTACTGAACAATGAACACTGGAGGAATTCTAACCAGGATAAGTTTCAGCTGCTTGCAATCTCCAATTCACCACTAGACACCACCAAATCCCCTTAAATCTTACACACTGAACCTTTAAATCTTTGCATGATTTTCCAAACTTCATGTCAGTGTGTTAGATGTTTAAACATCTCACACTGTCTTTCTCAGCAACATTGGTTTCCATTTCCATCCTATACATGAAAATTAACCAGAAACTTGCTTAAAGAAGCTCATTGTGAACATCATGTCTACAAAAGTTATGTTGCATGGTTGTAGCTACACAGTGACAGTCTGGATAAAAGTATGCATGCAGACATGATGTTCATTGTGATGGATTATTTAACTGTGCCTCTGAACATTTGTGTGGTTGTTTAGAGGTCAAAGTGCTCACCTGTCATTGATTAGCACTTGAAAGTTAAAAAATATCACAGAAAGAACAGGAAACTGATCTTTTTCTCTAGCTACGTGCAAGATAAGTCAAAGCATCAGCTATACAGGCAACAGCCACATTCAAAATTCAATAACAGTACTCAGAGGTGGAAAAAGTACTGAAAAATTCTACTTAAGTAAAAGTACCTTTACTTTGATGAAATTCTACTGAAGTACAAGTAAAGCTACCCATCTAAAAATCTACTCAAGTAAAATTAAAAAGTAGTTAGTTTAAAATGTACTTAAAGTAGAAGTTACATAGTTACTTCCAACAACTTGATGGGGGTCACTCCTATGCAGTGCAAAAATGGTCCAGGGGTCATAAATCCAATCCGAAAACTGGTTATTTTTCTATGATGAACCATAGAATTCAATTCAATTTAGGGCTGCACAATATCATTAGAGCATCACCAACACAATGTGTTCTTGTGCAATAGTCACATTATGAGACTCACAGTATAAGTTCATCATATCAATATAATATTAGTCAAACATGTGTCAAATAAGTATGGCATATTGCCTTAGGTTAGGTTAGGTTAAAGAACCTAACCTAACCTAACCTAAGGCAATATGCCATACTTATTTTGCTGGTTAATACTTTAGGTTATGAAGTTCTCAATTTCCATGACAGTTTGATTGTAAAATGTATATTTCATGCAAATACAGCCTTTCCAAATCCCAAATGATGACTTCTTTCCAAATAGAGCTATTCAAGATATTGCAATACACTGTATATTGCAATACATATCGCAGTATACAAAATCATCGCATTGTCAGTTTTGTGTAATATTGCGCAGCCCTCATTCATTTTGACACACAACTGTTAGACTGATGATACACAGAGCAACTTTTTGAGCAATGTTGTTGGGCATTATTCTCAGAGATGCAAACAGGTGTATGGTCAAAAAAGAGAGAGCTTGTCGAAGCGAAATTCTGAATATTAAAATACACTAACACTAATTTGGAAGAATACTGTGTATTCCAAAACAGAACAAATCCATTGAGCAACAGTGTTTCCCCTATATGCAACTAGCAGCGGTGGTGCTCCGCTGCTGAAATATGACCGTTGCTGCTGATTTATTTTTATTTATTTTTTTGCTCTTTAGAAACCACCGTTATATTATTTGGTGCTACGGACGCTTCATATCCAGGTCAATTCACACACTTGTGAATAAGAGGAGAGGGCCCCGTCTTATCTCTTCGTAAACTAAAGTTCTATTATTTTGAGCAACAGACGCTTCATATAATAACACAACAATATACTATTTATAGTGTTATACGGTGAAACGTTTCACTTTATAACGTGATGACTTATATTGTTTACACGACGGCATGTCATTTCTGTCTCTACATGGTCGCACCTTTACAATCCTCCTCTGCTCTCTGTATCGCACACGGCGGAGTTTGGCCCCGATGCGTACACACACACACGCACAGACACGTGCGCACACACACACACACACACACACACACACACACACACAGTTGAGCACACAAGAGTGCGGCTCGGGCTGCATTTTTCTGACCGACAATTATAAACGGCACTGTGCACACAGGGTTTTCTTTCATTTCGTTCCTTTCTTTGTTCATTTCAACTGCTGCATCTGCTTGTGCTTCTGCCGAAGCACTCCCACCCTCCTCCATCTCTCTCTCTCCAGTAACTCGCCGGCACTGGCCGCTTTTTCTGGGTCAATTCCACGCGAGATTTCCGAGATTCACCCTTTTGGTTTCCATTTAGCCGAGAACTTTTTTTTTTCCCTTTACTTAGTAAGGGATGTGATTTCAAATGTGGCAAAGTACAATACTTCAGTCAAAATTTACTTAAGTAAAAGTAAAATTACAGATTTCAAAAACTGCCCCCCCTTGAAGATCAAGTTAATTTTATTTAATTTTATTTTCTATATAGTGCCAGATAACAACAGAAGTCATTTAAGGTTACCTTTCCTATAGAACAGGTCTATACCTTGTCCTTTTATTAAACAAACTAAATAGCCATATGTTACTCATCTTATTTACACGATGGCATGTCATTTCTGTCTCTACATGGTTGTGCGTTTACAATTCTCCTCTGCTCTCTGTGCCCAATGTGCACACAGGGTCCAAACCTGACCGAAGACCGACGCAGTTTGTTACTTGACGTAGTTATTGTTATGGACAGTGTGTAAATGACCATCAAAAGGCTGCTGTTATGCACAGTGGGTCAAGCCCGAACCTAACCAGAGCTAGAGTTTTTGATTTGTTATCTGATCCTGACCGGTCAGTTCGAGGACTGTTTCAGTATTTTTTTATGTTTTGGTGGTTGATGACCACCACATTACAGCTCAATAATAACATGCTAATAGTGGGGTGTATAATTGTTTGATAATAAAGAGGTAATAACTAAATAATACCATGTATAACTCGACAGAGAATCTCACCTTTATTTTTGTTATTTTCAGAAGAGAGACTTTTTACACATACTTGCATTAAAAAATGGTTTTGAGTTTCAGTTCTAATAATAAAACGTTTGTTCAGCCATTAATAAATCTGGCTTTCCCTTCCTTTAAGGATCATTGTGACTGATAATAGTAATTATTCTTTAATACAGTGATACCACAATATTTTCTGAGATGGTTATCGTACTGTGAAAATCTCATACTGTTGCAACCCTGGAGGTAATATACACTGCTCAAAAAATTAAGGGAACACTTAAATCATACATCACATCTTGATGAATGAATTATTCAAGTTGAAAATCTTTACTGATGTACATTGTATAATTTGTTGAGAACAAAATGATGTAACAACGCTCAATGGAAACTAAAATCATCAAGCCACCAGGGCATCAGTGAGCTCCTGGACAGTCTGTAGTGGTACTTGGTGGTATCAGATGCAACAGTACTTAATGTCCCATTGGTTATCAACTGGATTTAGGTCAGAGGAACAATAGAGCCAGTCAATGGCATCAGTGCCTTCGTCATCCAGGAACTGCCTACACCCTCTGGCCACATGAGGCCAAGCATGTCCTGCACCAGGAGGAACCCAGGGCACACTGCATCAGCGTAAGGTCTGTCAATCGCTCTGAGAATTTCATCCTGGCACCTAACAGCAGTCAGGGTACTGTTGGCTATGACATGGAGATCTGTGGGACCCTCCAAGGATATGCCTTCCCAGACCATCACTGACCCACCGCTAACCCGGTCATGCTGGATGATGTTACAGGCAGCATTACATTCACCACGGTGTCTCCAGAGTCTTTCACACCTGTCACATGTGCTCAGTGTGAACCTGCTCTCATCTGTGAAGAGAACGGGGCGCCAATGGCAGACCCGCCAATTCTGGGGTTGTCTTGCGAATGCCAATCAAGCTGCGCGGTGCTGGGCTGAGAGCACAGGTCCCACTAGAGGATGCTGGGCCCTCATGTCACCCTCATGGAGTCCATTTCTGACAGTTTGGTAAGAAACTTGCACACCAGTAGCCTGGTGGAGGTCATTTTGTAGGGCTCTGGCAGTACTCCTCTTGTTCCTCCTCACACAAAGGAGCAGATACTGGTCCTGCTATTTGATTGATACCCTTCCATGGCCCTGTCCAGCTCTCCTCGTGTAATGGCCGGTCTCCTGGTATCTCCTCCATGCTGTTGTGACTGCACGTATGGATGTGCCATCCTGGAGGAGCTGGACTCTCTGTGCAACCTGATTGGGCTGCAAGTACTGCCAGTATTGACAAGCACCTTAGCAGAACACAAAACTAGAGAGGAATCAGATCTGATCGTCTTCCCTCTCTTGGACACCATCTGACCACACTTATCTAGTCTGAATGGCATTCTGATGTCATTGCTGTAGATCCTGCCCTTGGCACTTTGTAACTCCATTGTGCAGTGGTGCAGTGGATAGTAGGGGTATAAATCACCAGCTTACGATACGATATTATATCGATTTGTTTTATGACAATACGATGTTTGCCGATATCACAAAGTCTGTCACAATATGATTTTGATTCGATTCGATTCAGGAGCCTGTGATCGATATGACGCGATATGATATGCCCATCTAACACAATCATTTACATCAACTCACAAAAACAGCTAGAATATGATTTGACCATTTTATTTCTGAGCTCTGTTTGTTGTTTGAGCGGAGGCGCGCTTGCCCAGAAATGGTGACACAGACGTGCTATGTGAATTTCAAAATAAATGTGTATCTTTAAGATGACGATATGGATCGATGTTTTCATTTTGCATCGATATAATCGGATCGTTAATCAACGAATCGATGTATCGATGTGGATCGATGTATCGTTACACCCCTAGTGGATAGCACTGTCGCCTCTCTGGAAGGGGGTTACAGGTCCAAACCTGCTGGCCGGCTGGGCCCCTTCTGTATGGAGTTTGCATGTTCTCACCGTGTCAGCGTGGGTTTTCTCCAGCTTCCTCACACAGTCCAGAGACATGCACGTTAGGTTAATTGGTGATTCTACTTTGCCTGTAGGTGTGAATGTGAGCATGAATCTTTGTCTGTCTCTATGTGTCAGCCCTGTGATAGTCTGGCAACCTGTCCAGGGTGTACGCCGCCTCTTGCATAATACCAGCAGGGATAGGCTCCAGCTGCCCTGCAACCCTGTACCTGTATAAGCAGTTAAATGAATGAATGGACAAAATCAGTTTTTATTTGTAGAGTCTACAAGGATTCTGAAATACCTACAGAGCAGCAATCAGTGTTGTTAAACCAACCAACCAACCGAAGAGAGGCACAAACTGAGACACCAGACACAATAAATGTCACGTGACCCATGTCTGTCAGGAGTTTTATGTCATTATAACATATCTTATTTTGTTGTTTGAGCATTTAATTTTATGTCATAAAAACATAAATTATTGAGTAGATATTTTACAACATTTTATGTTAATTTCATTGAACTATTGAAATACACTGTGGTGAGCTTTGGTTTCTCAATTGCTAGAATAAGGCAAGGAGACGAACTCTGAACCAGGAAGTGCTCTTTATATCACCTCAGTACAGTTTTATGTTAGACACTCTAATACCCAAACCAGCAGGAGGTCACTAACTGTGTATACGATTTAACTCATGGTGCAAAATATCTTTTACCACATTAACTGTAACCCATTAGCATCATTGTAAAAAAAAACAAAAAAAACTTTAAAGCAACACAATGGAGTTTTTGAGCCCTCAAAATATAAATCCAAGATTGTTGTGATGGTACATCAACTCACAGTAGGTTGGATGACACCTCCGTCATTGCTTGAGGGCGTCTGTTTCACTTGCACTGAGATTTTGATGGTATGATAACCGTGGGCAAAAATACCATGGTAACCGGTATTACTGCGGTAATAATAATAATAATAATCATTATAATAAAACAGGCGTTGTCCTATTTTCGCGCTCTAGACTTTAAAACGGTAGGTTAATATTTGTTTGACTGTTCATGAGTGACAGCACGTACCAGGCATCTCCTGTCAGTGTAACGCATCATCACACCAGTTGTTTAAATGTGTAGGCTAATATAGACGCGTTAAAAGTTTAATAGAGCCGTTTCTTAACTTCATGATGGTGACTCTGCCCAGCAGCTTGTTGAGCTCCTCGTCGTTGCGGACAGCCAGCTGCAGGTGACAAGGAATGATATGGGTCTTCTTGTTGTCGCGAGCAGCGTTTCCAGCCAACTCCAGGATCTCAGCAGTCAGATACTCCAGCACAGCCACCAGGTAGACGGGGGCGCCGGCACCGATACGCTCCGCATAGTTTCCTTTGTGCAGCAGCCTGTGAACACGGCCGACTGGTTACTGGAGCCCAGCACGGGAGGAGCGGGTCTTTGCCTTGGCTCTGGCTTTTCCTCACTGGGCTTTAAGTTGTTTGTCAGTGTAAATGTTGGGTTTCGAAGCATCCATATATTGTACTTTCTCTGCATGTAACCCCTCTTGCTGGGGTTACTTCTATAGTAGCATTCCAACAGTTCCATATTCTCTGCTCTCGTCCATCTATGTCTTGTTCCAGTAGCCCATTTTTACTATTCTATGGGGTTGGGAAAATGTATTTTAAAAGATCACAGTCTTGACTTTTAAAACTTGTAATGGGCCACCCTCAGTGATTGATTTTTTTCTTGAATAGCATACATGATGGGTGTCAGAGGTAAGACCTGACAAAGCCGATGTCTACCGGAGTTTACAAAAAATTATATATTTAGTATTTTCACAGCAGTCATAGTGAGAAGCTGTTTTATTTTTCAAAAGTTGCTCAGAGTTCTCTTAATGCTAATCAAAATACTCATTTTTAAACCATAATTCTTATTTGGTTTGGATTTTGAAGGCCTACAGAGTTGACCTGTTATGGTTGAGGCACACCTGATAACAATATTAGTTGATGAATTTATCATAAAATAGAAAGCTGACCAAAGCTTGAGCATCATTCACACCTTTTTGAAAACAGGAAGAAAAAGTGAGACAGGAGTCCTTGTGATATAGCTAACTCCTTTCTGAGAGTTGACAAAAATCTGCAACTCATATTTAAAGGGCCAACATCTTCATAAAAAATATGTTTTAAGACAAAGATGATTGCAGTACATTTTTACACCATTGTTATTAGTATGTACTCTTAATTTTACCATTTTGAAGGCTTCTAACACAAAGTCTGATTGTTTGATGTTTTGAATTCTTGTCTAGGACGAGCTGTTTTCTGACACGACAAGTTTAGAAAAAAAAATCAAAATATTTTATAAATCATATTTTTTCATGGCTATAAATCCTTTGAAAGTAACACTTCACTCCAGAAACTGAATTAGTGTGTTGATAAGTTAAAATTGTAAAAGTTTTTTTTTTTTTGGTAGGACATGATTTGCCCCAATTCTCAAGGGTGATTTAATTTTTAAAATGGTAGTACTTGAGTAAATGTACTTGGTTACGTCCTATCACCGGTTACAGGAACATATTTGGAAACAAGGCTATCCTTAGCAAGGCCTATAGGAACAGCGCTGGGCTTTGACGCAAATTTTACTTAGTGGTCAAGAGTGGAACTACACCATCCTTGTCTGTAACGTGAGGTCATTGGGCCCAAAAAACAGAAGTTTGGTGTTCGGCTGGCAGAAGGTAGTCGCTCGGTCACGCTTGGCTGTGCTCAGCCACTGCAAGTCTCTAGTGCACTTGCTTCATGGGCCCGCAATGCAGAAGATACAGGTAATTTCAAACCGCGAAAAGAGAGCTTTTTTGGCTCTGGCACTGAGCGGCTTTCATAGGAATGAATAAGGGCCTGCCTTCAGTACTGTATCCAGTTCTTGTAATACATCCATGATCCTTACTGGAATATTCATGTGTCGCACTGCTGAAGGCACGTACACCGGGTTTTACTTAGTCATTAGCAGTAACAACAGACAGACAGACAGAAGATGGAGCCAGGTATTTGTTGGGAGAATTGCAAGACAAGCTATTATAGAGATTTAGCAGCCTGTTGACAGCAGGCAAACAGCTGCAGTATGAAGTGTACCCACAGAAGTGCTTTGTTATTAACACTGAGTGTGTCCCACAGTCCTACTTTGTGTCAGACTACGACCCCACCATCGAAGACTCCTACACCAAGATCTGCACAGTGGATGGAAAGGAGACCCGGCTGGACAGTAAGGCTTCATCACACTGGATATGAATTCACACTTCACACTGTTTGTCAGAGGCTTTGTTTGAAAGCAGAGGGTGTGTTGCACTGTGATGTGATATGACACAGGCAGAGTGTTTGCTCTCTGGATCTTTCATTCCCTTGTTAGGACTTGTACTTGGCCTGTGTTACTCCATGGAGCCAGGCTGTAGTGTGTTAGGTCACACTGTTGTTTCACCACGCACACAGTAATACATGAATCATCAGAGAGCTGCTGTTTGTATGACTGTCTGGCTGCTCTTTATGTGCTTCCATGTTTGTTTGTTTACAGCTCTGTAGATTTGACTCCAGTTTTACAATCGCCTGTATCTCTCTCTGTTCCTTCACAAACATCACCTTACATCACATGAGACAGTTTGGAGAAATCTAAGCTTCTAGGCTGAACAGAAGTAGTAGGAATTCACTTAAATGCTATACTGTATGTGTACATAGATGTTGCAGTGTGTGCTGTGGGTGGTGCCAAGGGTGGGACCAGCATATTATGACAAATGCTCTGTCTAGTCATTGGCTCTGTCAGAGACCTCAACAGGAACATGTCATTCCTTAGCTCCAGTCTGTGACTCATGTAGCATTTTTATTTTATTTTCAATTTTGTTGACAATCACAATCGGTGATAAACAAGAATACAGAGGAGCATCTCCAGCGTGTGTGGTTTTTCTTCTCAGTTCTTTCCAATTAGTCCAGTTAATTGTTGGTATCACTTTCCATGTAGGTGGTCCATTTCCTCCAGTTTTTGTCAAATATATGTCCCTTGAGTTTTAGTTGCTAAGTCAACTTTTCCATTGAGTGAATATCCAGGATAGGGATGGGTCACGATTTTCGTTTTTCGAATAGTCGTTTTATTTTTGAAAAATCGATTTTTTAATGCGACTATTACTATTCGCCGTCTTATTTCCCCCCCTTTATTTGACATGCAATTCAGCTCCTAACCACACGAGGGCAGTCTAGGATTGCTACAGCAGTGTGAGATGCTCTTCTACAAACAGGAGAAACATGCAGAGACTACTACTCCGTGAGGTATGTCCCCAGTCATTCGGGCTTTCATAGTCGAGCGCGCTTCCGCGTTGTAGTTTCCTGTAAAAATGTCCGTGAAAAATCCCCGCGATGTGAAAAATACATGCCGAGCAGTCACTGGTGTGCGCGCACAGGGCTTGCGGACGTCCGCTTTGAGTCCGCGNGGGGGGGGGGGGGGGGGGGGGGGGGGGGGATTATTCGAAAAATTGTCGAATACTTGCCACGATTTTCGAATAGTGTTTTTGCTTGTGTTGCCCATCCCTAATCCAGGATGATCTCAAACTATTGCTCCTTGTTCGGTATTTCCACTTTATACCAGTTCCTAGTTATAGCCTTTTTGCTGGCAGTAAGTAAAATTTTAACCAGATACCTGTCTTCTTTTTGCACAGCATCGTCAATTTTTCCCAGGTACATGACAACACAGTTATTTGGGATATCATGATCCAATATGTCATTAATAGTTGTATTTACAATATTCCAAAAAGGTTTTAATTTACAGCAGCACCAGAAGACATGTGTATGGTTGCCCTCTTGGTTACCACAGAGCCTCCAGCATGGTTGTTGGGTCTTTAATTGTCTGCTCTTGATCTGAGGTGTTATGAAGAACCTAGTGAGGTTCTTCCAACCATATTCCCTCCATGTCTGTGAGCTGGTGGTAGTGCATTGTGTCATGCACATTTCGTACCAATCATCCTCCAAAATGTCAATATCTAACTCTGATTCCCATTTGCTTTCGAGGTATAGTGTTGAGTTTTCTCTATTATTCTGGAGGGCTTTATAAAAGGCTGAGATGACCCTAGATTTACCCTGATGATATGCATCCACTATAATTTGGATAATGGCATTCAATTCAGTTTTAGAATCAATTCTAATCTCTTTCATAACATAATCTCGAATTTGTAAATATCTGAAAAAATCTTGTTTTTGTAATCCAAATTTCTCTTTTAATTCTTGAAAACTCATACACTTCCCCTGTTTAAAAATGGTGCAGAGAGCATTAATTCCTTTCTCTGTCCATTGTTTAAACCTTGAGTCATTCAGACCTGGTAGAAACTTTGGATCACACGCCACCCAATTCAATATTTTTCTCTCTGCTTGTAATTTGTATTTCCTCATTATCTTTTCCCAAATTTCCAGTGGAAAATTTATTATTGGATCTATTCAAAGAGCATGGATACCAAGAGGCGAAGCTCCGATGAATTTTTGCCAACAGCCACTAGGGGAACTGCGGTAGCGCTGCCACCATTTTGGACTGTTGAGCTTGGACTGTTGCACCCAGACAACATGCAAGATGTCAAGGAGAGAGGAGAAAAAAGTAAAAGAAAACAGTGTAGTGCAATTAACTGCAACAACTATCAGTGGAACACCCCGCACCTGGCCTTCCACCGTTTCCCGAAGGATCCCGACAGGTAAGAACTCCTGAGGTGTAAGTTTTAAAGTGTTTTAATATCAATTTAATATGCCAGTTTTGGAGGGAAGATAACACTTATATGTATATATATATATATATTTTTATATATATGTATAAAATATTGCCTCTTCGACCATTTATATCAGGACTGATTACTGCTTTAGCATTAAAATATATTAAAATAGCCTATATATTATCATTATTATTATTATTATTACTGTCCCCTTACTGTATAAACTGTAAATAAAGTCTATATTTTGCTTTACAAAAATGTGAAAAAGCAGCTGTGACCAAGCTATCAGGAGGTGAGTAGCATTGTAAGCATAATTAATAACGATATACTTCAGTTTGTCTGTGTGTTTTTGTATGCAAGCGGGTCCGCTGCGGTCTGCTGACAGTCCAAAATGGCGGCGGTAGGATGAAACCATGGGCGAGTCTGTTGCTATGGGGCGTTCTATTGAGCTTCGCCTCTTGGTATTGATGCTCTTTGATCTATTGTCCTTTTTATCATTTCTGTTTGTTCTTTATTACCCAACAAAATTGGAATTTGTAAATCTGTAACTTCCATTTCCATATCTTTCCGCCTCGCTTCATACTCAGGTATGCACCAACATGCTACAGGTCTCAGCTGTGCTGCATAAAAATATTCTTGCAAATTTGGCAAGGACATTCCACCCCTACTCCTTGCAAGTTTTATATCTTGTTTTGGGTTTTTTGCCATTACAAATGAACCTTGATATGCTTTTGTCCCAGGAGATAAATTTGTTTTGAGGTATCATTATTGGTAAAGACCTTGGTACAATATTCATCTTAACAACCTTAATTCTGGAGCTAAAGTTGAGGGGAAAAGTCAACCACCTTTGCATATCTTTTTGAATGTTTAGGTCAATCACATTATAGTTGGCTTCATATAGTTTGTCAAGCCTCTTTGTTACTGTAACTCCAAGATATTTCATGGTTTTACAGTTCCAGTTTAGGCTGTATGTATCTCGAATTTTTTGTGGTGGGGAGTAGTTAAATGTAAGTATCTGAGTTTTTGCGATATTAATTTTATACCCTGAATAGTGACCATAAACCTTAAGAAAATTCATCAGCAGGGGGAATCCTTTATCTGGGTTTTTTAAGAAAATTACCACGTCATCCGTGAAGAGGCTAATTATACTGTATGTTTTTTATTCCTAATCTCTAATCCCTCCAGGTTAGTATTCTGGCGAATTGCCTGTGCTAAGGGTTCGATATAAAGGGCGAAGAGTGTAGGGCTCAAGCAACAGCCTTGTCTAGTGCCCCTTTCTAATGTTATCATTTTTGATAGCTGTCCATTTACCTTAATCCTAGCAGTTGGGTCTTGATATATAGTTTTAATGTTCTGGATTGATTTTTTGTTTAAGCCAAATTTTTTGAGTACTAGATATAAAAATGCCCAGCTGACACTGTCAAAGGCCTTTTCAGCATCTAAGCCTATTATTTTAGCTTTAGTCCCCTTTTTTTGTGCATGGTCTATGATATGCAGTGTTCTCCTAATATTATCTTGGGTTTGGCGCCCTTTAACAAAACCAGTTTGGTCCTCATCAATGATATCTGGTATGAAGGTCTCAAATCTTCTACAGAGTATTGAAGTATAAATTTTATAATCAACATTTAGGATTGAGATTGGTCTAAAGTTATTTCATTGTTCTGTATCTTTGCCCTCTTTTGGGATAAGTGATATAATTGCCTCTCGCCATGATGGGGCCTTCCCCTCCTTCAGCGTCCAATTATAAGATGACATAAGTAGAGGTGTTAATTCACTTGTAAATATTCGATACCATTCAGATGGAAACCCATCACTACCTGGCAATTTATTAGTCTTCAGTCTACTTATTGCACCCTGTATTTCTTCCTGTGTTATGTCAGCGGTAAGGATGTTATTCTGCATCTCGCCAATAGATGGGAGATCAAGTGTGTCAAGAAAGTGTCTAATAGTGTCTTCACCTGCTGAAGGGGGTTTTGAATACAGCTTTTTGTAATAATCCTCAAACACATTTAATATTTCTTCCGGATCATGCAGCAGCTGTTGGGTTTCAGGATTTCGTATCTTATTGATTGTATGATTAGATTGTTTACGCAATCGTCTTGCCAGCAATTTAGTGGCCTTTGGGCCAGATTCATAATATGTCTGTTTTAAAAATCTAGCTCTCTTTTCTATCGCATCTCTGAGAATGCCATCTATTTCCTCCCTTACTTTTTTAATTTGTAGGAGGACTTTGGGGTTTTGGGATTTTTTTATGTTGTCCTTCTAATTCCTTCAGCTTTCCCACTTGCTGATTATATCTGGCTATTTTGTTCTTCTTCTGTATTGAAGTTAAGGCAATCAAAATACCTTCTGTTTCTAATGCAATAAGATCAAATAAGGTCCTGAAAAAACATTTCCTACTCTCCGGGGGTGCATATACATTAACTAGTATTACCTTCTCGTTTTGTATTTTGCCTTTAACCAGGATATATCTTCCATCTTTATCGCTTATTTCTCTACAACATTCAAATTGCACAGAATTTGGTAT